CCTCTACCTTTCAAATAAATGAATAAAATATTTCAAAAAAAAAAAAAGGGAAAGAAATTATCAGTAAATTTTGTCTCTCCGAAATTTCTTTTTGTGATAAAGAAAGCAAATGATAACATTTTTTAAGCTTCTAACAATTAGCATTTAAGGAAACCCCAATATAAACCATTCTTAGTTCCCACAACTTCCCCCCAAAACCCTAATCTCCAAACTCATTTCTTGCTCATTCCCAAATAACAGCTTGGAAAACAAAATTCTCCCTAATTTGAATGTCCTCCCCTCCATTTGCTTTTCAAATCCCACTTGATTTTTTTAAAGATTTATTTATTTATTTGAAAGGCAGAGTTACAGGGAGGAGAGGGGGAAGAGAAAGACATCTTCCACTCCCCAGATGGCCACAACAGCCAGGGATGGACCAGGCTGAAGCTAAGAGCCAGGAGCTTCATTCCAGTCTCCCAGGTTGGTGCAGGGGCCCAAGCCCTTGGGTCATCCTCCACTGCTTTCCCAGGCAGGGAGCTGGATCAGAAGTGGAACAGCTGGGACTTGAGCCAGCACTGACATAGGATGCCAGTATTGCAAGGGGCAAGCTCTACCTACCACACCACAGTGCTGGCCCCAATCCCACTTAACTTTAAAAGACTAACTTAGTGAGGCATCTCACATCTCTACTAATGATGTCCCGTGACCTCCTGGTCATAGTAAGTTCGCCCTTCTTAAACACCTTTAGCATCTGTCAGGAGCATTTATCTGATACTTTGCAGGTGGCACCTTCCCAACTTATCCAAGTGATGTTTAAAGTAGTATAGAGCACGCATGCCAGCTATTTTCTCTGCCCTGGCAGTCAATTGTTTCGTTTAGTCCCTCTCCGGGACTCTGCGCTTCAGCTTATCTACTCCTCAATCACAAAAACTTTATTATAAGGAGACTATACGGGAAATAACTGTCAGAGGCCAGGAAGAAGTAAATTTTGCTGGAATGCCTGGAATGAATTGTTTATTTTCTAGGTTTACAACAACTGGAAATAAAATATTTTACAAACTTTTTACATACAATGTCTTTAAAGTACACATCTTTTAAAATTTTATCTTTCATCTGGTAACTTCTAACTAAAAACAAACTTATGAAAGTTTCATATCCTTTGAAAGAAGAATGAACAAAACAAAATAAAGGAAAAAAAATTCCAAGATCAAATAGATGATTCAAGTATGTCACTTCATTGGCTTTAATATTCACTCCTACTTAAAAAAAAAAAAAGTGAATACTCTGGTAGAAATTTAATTAATATTCAGACTACCAAAAACCTATTGGCTTCCTACATTCTAATAATTACAAGGAAAAAACAGCTGAAAGGTGAAGTTCTTCTGTTTGAGGATAAAAGAGAGAAAGAAACAATCAAGAGACCAGAAAGCATAAAGATGACAGAAAGAAAGAAATAAGAAACAGAAATTGAGTTCTTCGTATACTGAAAAAGGTAAGCTAGGGAAGATGCTTACAGCAAAATCACAGTTCAACTGGACTGAAGACAAAACAAAAATCCTGGGGCAGGTTTTATGTACAGAACTGAATAAGGACATTGTAAGATCTTACTCTTTGGGATAACAGTTGCTAGAGTTCCCACTAACCCATTCCAGGTTTCTTTTCACTCTAATGAAGACAAGCACTCACTCGTGAAATATGCTTGAAACTATATGTAAAAATGACTGGCTACTTACTTCACCATAACTGGGTCTTACAGATTCCATCTCTACCTTATAATTTTAAACACAGGTAGAATTCACTGCTGAATTTTGTTTAATGCATTTCCCATTTCATACTCTAATTTGCACTTTTAAAGCTAAAGCATTTTGAAGAAATCTGTACAAATTGGACCACCATACAATGATCTGGACACTGGATGTTTGTTATGTAAGAAAGAATTATTAATTTTCACAATTATTTCTCATCAAAATTAATCACTTCAAATCTACTCAAAGTAGAGACAGGGTCAAGATCCAGAAGCCTAACTCTAGTTCTAATCCTCAAAATTCAACCATCAAAAAGGAGTTATCATTCTACTAGCTTAAATATCTGGTTGAAAAATATTAACATGGTTAAAGAATAAAACCACTTATATATACAGAAACCTCAAGAAGAGGAATCTGATTGTCTAATTCATCTACTTTATGATAAAAATATCTTCACCAAAAGGCATATTTAGCAATTGATATTATCAACCTAGTTCAATGAACTTAAGTAATGGGTAGTAATACAAGAACCATCATTTTTGCACATGTTATTTGCCAACTACTTCCTCAATAACAATGCCTAACCACAGGCATCATCTGCCCTTAATTAAAACCAGGGATCAAGGCTGTGGCATAGTAGGTAAAGCCGCCGCCTACAGTGCCAACATCCTATATGGGTGCTGGTTCCAATCCCAGCTGCTCCTCTTCCGATCCAGCTCCCTGCTATGGCCTGGGAAAGCAACAGAAGATGGCCTAAGTCCTTGGGCTCCTGCACCTGTATGGGAGACCTAGAAGAGTCTCCTGGCTCCAGGTTTGGATCAGCGCAGCTCCAGCCATTGTGGCCATCTGGGGAGTGAACCAGCGGATGAAAGACCTCTCTCCCTCTCTGCCTCTGCTTTTCTGAAACTCTGGCTTTCAGATAAACAAATAAATATTTTTAAAAAATAAAACCAGTATCTTTCCTTTACTAACAAACCTGAATATGAACTGAAATGGTACAGATGACATATCATGATTCCAAAAATATGAAAATTATCTTTTCTGTTTTCTTTTTATAGTTGCTCAACGTTTAGTCCTAACGTTTGGAGTCCTACAGGTGACAACAGTAGTCAAACATTACCTCAATTCTCATACTGAAGATAAAGAAGGGGGAAAAGACAACTTGTTTCTTAGTACAAACACATCCAACAACAACTGTCAGTTAACATGAGGGTAAAGTAAAAACCCAGTCCAAGCTTTTGAGAAGTAAGCCAGTGTTAACACTTCCTATCTATGCAAGCCACAAAGAAGATAAAACCCTCATAAAGAGCTGGGTTAAAATGACAGAGCTTTTTTCTAGGGAGATGGAGGGGATAGGATTTAGTTTTTTGATACATGCTTTTCATTTGAGAATAACAAAGTTTATTTTAAAATAAAAAAAAAGGAGGAAAACATAAGCCTATTTGGCATACCAAAGAATGAGAAGTTTGGCTACTTTAACTTTAAAATTCTATGTTTTCAGTATCTCTACAACCAGATAAATATCCAGGAAATATAATTACTACACTATTTAAAATCTGTGACTTAATTTGTACAGAAAACAATTGTTACAGTTAAAATGACCAAAATTTGCCAATCAATTGGTCTTCAAACAAAACACTGAGGTTTATAGACTACGTTGAGAATGATTTGACAAAGAAAAGATGAGGACAAATCTCTTCAGTGCTATCCACTCTCAGTAAGACTCCTCCAATGTTCAGTGTGGAACAATGTTCCTGAAGATCACGCTTCATTGTTTGGGATTTTGAAGTAAGCTATTTTACCCAATTGTACACTTTCAAAAATTTCAGTTAACAAGTCTTTCTGAGAAAATGATTTTCAAATCACCAAAAAGCCAAATGGCAAGATGTTCAAGACTTTAGACAGTATCTGAGAAAGAACCCAACCAGGGAAGGCTTTATCAAGGTGAGCCAAGGTTAGAACGGCAGAACTTCTTCCCTGCTGTAATGAATATGCTAAAACTGGCAGTTTGGTGACTATTACTGGGTACAGCAGTAAACAGAGGGGGAAAGCCTCACACAGAAAGCTGAATGGCCCAGAGAAAACCTACGTGGTGACAAGAACCTAAAGGCACATGCAGGTACGCATCTTTTATATTGGATGTGATACACTTACATGGCCCCTGTTGAATCTCTTGGGGACCAACAGTAAAGCAAGTTTAGAACTTCAAATCTTGAGACATCTATAGCAAGATGCGGATCCAATGTGGCTCCAAATATCTTCTGTTTTCCTGGCTCACCTGAAGAGGAAAAAACACTACAGAGGATGTGGGAACTGAATATCTTTATGTAGTTTCTTCTAGAGCAACTGTCTGAAAGTTTTGGCCCAATCCTTTACGAAGTCTGGAGATGAGATACTTGAAAGACTAGTGAAAACCAAAATTCAAATGAAAAGGTGGAGTGAGACCCTAAAAAGGGGTTGTAAGAGCAAGATAATCTTCCTAGGTAAATCCGTGTTTCTAACCCTTGGTTGGGAGCAGGCAGAGAAAGGAGAGGAAAAAAATGCACAGACATTGCTCCCTCCACTCCATAATTCCAATTGTTACTAAAAATTCACAAAGTACCTAAACTTTCTTGCCACAATTAGGGAATGAATCAGCAAGATTGCTTGGAAGGTTTAAGCGTTTTCTCACCTGTCCCTCCCCTGGATATATGGCATTTTAAGCGACGGGGAGGCCTTTCAGATAATTCTTTTTTTCCTAAGAAAAGATTCCGGTGGAATACAGCTTAAAGCAATAAAGAAAGAGGAAAATAAATTTATTTTATACAAAAATGGAAGTCACAGGACAACATACCATATTGACAAAGTTTTATCTAACTGTTTTTCAAAAGGGGCAGGGCAGATTTCATGAAATAAAATATCAGAACAAAAAAGTAGTTTCCAAGTCAAAGAAAATATCATTAAATTAAATAACACAACCTGCATGCTTCATTCCTCTATAAAATATTATTCCTGGAAAGGTAAGCTTTAAAAAACTAAGTTTAGCAGAACCAAGTCTGATATATATTACCACACAAAAACATTAAAAAGTACTCCATAATAATACTCATTTTTGTTTGACTTCTTAAATTTTTCCTTAAAATAGTCTACCTAAATTTTGCATTATTTTAGTTATTTTCCAACACTCACGTAATGGCAGAACTAAAACCAATTTTCTTCCCAAGTACATTCCACTTCAACCAGAATTTACTCGAAGTTTTTGAAAAATAAGAATGGAGAATAAAATTACATCCTTACCTGACGTGGCTGTTCATTCATTCGCTGTGGGTCTGATTTCACCTTATTACTAGGATGATTTGTGACTTTGGTTACTGGTTGTTTGAAAATTGATGCTGTTTGTCGAATTGGCAACGTTGTATTCAAATCTGGTTTACCCTGTGAATATAAGTGTTTCCATTAATATTACATATACAAGCAATTAGATGAAGCCTGTTTTATTAATTCACTGTTATTTAAATGATTATTCCAAAATTGTATCTTTGCATGATAAATCCCCCCAAAGCACATTTAAGACATTATGTAAGACATAACTGAAGTTGTCTCATAATAAATGAAAACTTTCATATACTTCTAAATGTAAGAAAATTCTCCACATAAAATTTATAATTAAGAGCAAAGTACTAAGGATTTTTAACTGTACAAATACAGTTTTTTAAATTTACTTGCATGCATTTCATAAATACAACTTTAGAAACATAGTAATTCTTCCCACCGTACCCACCCTTCCATCCACACTCCTACTCCCTTTCCTCTTCCCTCTCCTGTTCCCAGTTTTGGTTTTTACTAAAATCTATTTTCATTTAACTTTACACAAAGAATATTAACTCTATTCTAGGTAAAGAAAGAAAAAAAACTAAAAACAAAAAAATATAAAAAGAACAAAAGCTGTTCCTCAACAGTTCAGACAAGGGCTGTTCAAAGTCATTGCACCTGGATGGTAATTTCACTTTTTTTTTTTTTTAAGAAACTTAATTATCCTTAAAGAACCCAAGAACCCAAGAATGACATATCTTTTGGGAGCACTTAGACACAGCTATAATTTGTGTGACATAAGAATATCCTCCACTTAATACACTAAGAGAAGTAATTCTTTGAGAACAAGTTTTATTATTAAGTCTCATAATACAACTCTTTGAGGACAGAGGTCCTGCATGGGAAGTTAGCGCACAGTGACTCCTGTCATTTACTTAACAATTAACACTCTTTCGTATGATCACCCGAAGCTCTTGACATGAACAAATACATCTAAGACTGATTTATACAAAAGGAAGGAGAACTTCAGGATAGCAATTACTCCTGCGTCCAGAGAATGTAGGGAAACTGGCATAGTTAAAATATGCACGCCTGATCAGCAGTTAGGAGATTGAGCTTATACAAAACCACCTAAAAGTTCATCTTCACTTCTATATAAAAAGAACTGGCAATAGAAGCTCTAATTCCAGCAAATGGAACTCAATGTAGAAAAATACGACAAACTTATGACAAACTAAGATCATATTGAGCATGTCTAATCCAAAATTACTAAAAAACTTTCTGAGTGAGGACATGAGGCCACAAGAGGAAAATTCTACACCTGACTTCAGGTGACACGCGATAGTCAAATACAAGCACACTGAAAATAATGCATAAAATTACCCTCAGGCCATATGTATAAAGTGTGTATGTAGCAGCTGGCGTTGTGGCTTAGCGAGTTAAGCCTGCAATCCCAACATGCCACGGGGGTGCCGGTTTGAGTCCTGGCTGCTCCACTTCTGATCCACCTCCCTGCAATGTGCCTGGGAAAGCACTGGAGGATGGCCTACATCTTTGGGCCCCAGCGCCCACATGGGAGACAGGGAAGAAGCTCCTGGCCCCATTTAGGGGATGAATCAGCAGATGGAGGATCTCCATTTCCTTCTGTCACTGGTTTTCAAATAAAATAAATAATAAATAAATATTTAATATTAATAAAAAAGTACCAGCAGGGCTCAGAATGGGCCAAGTCCTTTAATTCCTCTGGACCCATGAAGAAAGCTGAAAACCGGGCTTGTGACACCCCTTGGGCCGCCTCCCTCCGCAGGGAAAATGTAGCGCATCTCCCCGGGACTGCACGGTGGAGGTGGGGGGGGCAGCGCTGAGCGCACCTGCAGGGACGCAGCCCTGGCCCCACCTCCCCTTTCCCACACTGACTGAGGTCCACCGACCAACTCAGCACCGGACACCGGTGTCTCGCCCCTTACACGGAGAGGCAGTGGCTAACTCATCCTCCGTCACCCTCCCGCCCTTGTCGCACCTCTGCTGACCGGAAACGGAGCCGGGACTGACGCATGCAGGAATCCGGGGGAACTAGGCTCCCGGGCTGCCTTTCACGCCCGAGACTGCTGGGTGCCCCCGCCCCAGACTCCTGTGCAGAACCCCGTTGCCAATTTGACATAAAGAGTTAAAAGCAAACACGCTAATGTTACAAGATTAAAGCTATTAATGTATTTGGAATATTCCTTTCCAATATAAAAAAACTAAGTTCTTTGTGTCACAAAAATAAAGCTGCCAAAAACATTTTAATACATGTTTAGAACCAAAAATTTCCAATCTTTGCTAAATCTTCTCAGCACACACATCTTCAAACCAAAATTTAATGAATTTTATTAATGCATCTTATGTTGAAAATAGTTAATATTTTAATCATTTGAAAGTCAGAGCTACAGAGAGAGGAGAGACAGACACACACAGAGAGAGAGAGAGAGAGAGAGAGAGAGAGAGAGAGAGGTCTTCTACCCGCTGGTTCACTCCCCAAACAGCCGCAACGACTGGAGCTACACTGATGCAAAGCCGGGATCCAGGAGCTTCTTCCTGGTCTCCCACGCTGGTGCAGGGGCCCAAGGACTTGGGCCATCTTCTACTGCTTTCCCAGGCCATAGCAGAGAGCTGGATCGGAAGAGGAGCAGCTGGGTCTCCAAACGAGTCCATATGGGATGCCGGCACCCCAAGCCAGGGCATTAACCTGCTGTGCCACAGCGCCAGCCCCGAAAATAGTTAATTTTTTGAAACTCCATTATATTTCCCTAGCTGTTGGGAAGAATATATATCTTAGTTTTGAAATGTTTACTTCATCTCTTCAGGGTAAGTACCTGAGGTGGCTCTCTGTATACTCACCAAGTCCAATATGCAATATAAAGTAATTCTTAGAAACAGAAAATCAAACATGAAAAAAACAAATTTCCTCCTGAAAAGGTTAAACAGGGGTACTATAGGTGAGCATTAAATCTGAATCTGAATTTTCAAGGGAACTGGGAAAAAGAGGAACCTTAAATGATATGGATAGCATGGTCAGAGACAAGGAAGCACACCCACTCTGACGAAAACAAAAAAAAAGTTCTACTAAATCCAGAAAAAATAAAGGAATTCAACACAAGAAATATTAAGATTTCAAATGGTTTCTTTTTTTCAGTGACATTCCATAAAAGTCAAGAACAGAAGACTTAAAGAACAGGTCAGTGAAGGCAATTCTAAAAGTATCTAAATCAGGTTGGTCTAATTGTGCAGTCTTTCAGTGACCTAACTTGATTAAGGATAGGAAAGCGAACAAAGAATCAGTAAAGAATATGCATCATAAACCAGAGGTGTGTAATCCCACCCTCTAGATTTCTGAAAACATATATATCCAACTTGTTTGACAAGAGGAATATTTTATGTTTAATGTAAAGGATGCATTTATTTCAAGTATTTTAAATACTGATATGTTAAAAAACTGTTATACCATGACAAGTGTATCTAACAGAATCTAAATATATAACCACAATCATTCACACATGAGCAAACTCTTCGATAGTCACGTATTTTATGGGATTCTTTTTATCCTTTTGAATAATTCCATTTTCTATTTTAAACTGGAGAATGTTTAATTAACTATCTAGATATCATGAAATTGTTTTAAATTTCCTGTGACCATAAAGTTCTTAGAGGTACAGTAATAAATTTCTTCTGGTGCACTGCCATTACTATATAACTGACCAAAATGGCATGATAAATTTTAATATAATTAAGCATAAAATATAAATTTTATTAGCTATATTTGGCTTGATAAAAAGAATCTTAGAATATAACTATGCTCTTGGGTCAGTATTTTTAATTGTCAAACTATGACAAAATTTAGCATTAATCCTATTTTTCATTTTTTATAACTGTAAAGAAATTTTGCTCACATAAGTGTATAAATAAAACTATGTCACTCTGTTCCCAGAGCTTTTTGAGTTATATGTCAAAACATCACATAGTGTACCATTAAAACTTTTATTTAGTAATCAGTTCTCTAAATTTTGTTGCAAGTAAAGCACTGTGCTTGTGGAAATAATTGACTCTTACTGAGTCATTCACTTTCTGAACCCAGCACTTCAAACTGTCCTTTTATTGGAAATCAAACATTTTGTACTATGGTAATATTGCAGACAAGTGAGAAATGTGTCCCATAAAGGATGACCATTGACTATAAAGGAGAATGAGAGAGGGAGGGTTGGAAATAACAAGAACCTCTCTCAGGTACATTTTCAGATCAACTGAGGATTTCAAAACAGATTCCTTTCGAAACAGACCATGTCTAATATGCCAGGTAAAGTCTTCACATAGCATAGTCTATGCCAGGGACTTACACTGTCTTTTCCAAATATTCCTCTTCTCGGTTTTTAAAATAAAGCTATATGGCATCCAAAACACAGAGAGTACAAATGCTGGTGAGGATGTGGACAAAGGGGCACACCAATGCACTGTTGGTAGGAATGTAGATTAATGCAGCCACTGTGGAAAACGGTATGAAGTTTCTTTAAAAACTAGAAATAGACTGGTCATATGATCCAGCAATCCCTCTACTGGACATGTATCCAAAAGACTTGAAGACAATATATCAAAGAGATACCTGCACCATGTTTATAAGCAACACTATTTACAACAGACAAAACCTGCAATCAGCCAAGGTGTCCATCAGCAGATGAACGAATAAAAAAATTGTGGTATATATGCAAAATGGAATACTATTCATCTGTAAAAAATTACAAAATGGATGGAACCAGAGGGCATGATGTTGAGTGAAATAAGCTGGACCCAGAAAGACAAATATTGCATGTTCTCCCTAACATGTGGGAGCTAAAATTTATAAACACAAGAAGAAGAAAGTCCGTGTGTATCAATATTTCTGTAAATCTAGGGTTTTTTTAGAATGCATTTATTCTATGGTTCCCATAACTGTTTTAAAAGATTTATCTACTTGAAATGAAAAGATAGAGAAGAGGGGGACAGAGAGAAAACAAGACAAAGAGCACACTTCCATCCACAGGTTCACTCCCCAATGGCAGCAACAGCCAGGGCTCGCCAGGAGCCAGGAACTTCCTCTAGGTCTTCTACGT